CAAAAATTCCTTGTTCCTTGGGGTAAAACAGATAGGGACTTTTACTCTAATTACTAATCTTTTTAAAGGCACTCCCAGTTCTAATCATGTGGTTAGCAAATTGGAACCAATTACAGATTGTCTACCCTTGCTGCAATGCTTCTCCAAGGTGCTTCTATTCCACATCATCACAACCCTCCCAGAAGTTAGGTCTTCACCCTCTTCATGCCATCAGAGGCACTCTGTGCATGTGCCAATCCTTGTTACACTAATTTTAAATTTATGCTTTCTATTTAGTTGTGTAATTTAAAGGTAGTATGTCAAGACTTCCTTTGAACATCCTTTAACTTCTCTGTTCTTACTTCTCCTATATTTCAGATTCTTTATCTCTTACATTCTTAGAGACTTGGGCTCTATCTATAGCGGGCTTCTTTTTCTGACTGGTCTTTCTACCATTAATCTTTCAGAATGCTCTTTTCCCTCCTTTCTGATCTTCCCTTCCTCCCCCCTCGACTCCTCTGGAGACTTCAAGGTTTTCTTACCTGTCTTCTTCCCTCTTTAAGAGCTCTCTTCCCCCTAGTGTTTGTTTGCTGCACCTATTGTATTTCCCTAATTCTTTTCCTACATTTTCTTCCCTTACCACAACTTGAAATACAACTTTTTTTGTTTTTAAATCTGGACTCAGCTCTTTTCTCCCCTCCTTGGACTCCAGTCTTTCCCTGAAGTCCCCTCTTGTGCCTTCTCCTTTTCTCTCCAGGAGAATTCCCTCCATTAATTTGGGCAGTTTTTACAATCTCTGGGTATTCTTCTTTTCTTTCATTTTGTGGGCTTGTTCTAGAAATTGGCTCAGCCTGCTGTAATAAAAATTATGACATGTCGCGGGCAGTTTGAAAAGATCTGCCCTTTTTCATTACAAAGGTCATATACAATTCCATTTTTACCAGAAGAACTGCTGTGTTCTGTGATCTCCAGATCTAAGATATTTTTTTTTCTGGCTGAACAGTACACCCATGATATATTGAGTCACATCTATATTGTGTATTTGGGATCTGCTATACCAGTTTTCTTTGTCCTTAAATGAAAACCACCTAATATATTGTTAACCTCATACTCTCTTTGCCACAGTTGGATTTCACTCTTGAATTCCAAACTTGTGTGCTGTTTTTACTGAAACTATTAATTCATCAGAGTATATAGGATGACCCCAAAAACTTAGTGCAGTGTTCTGTTATTAAAAGCTTAAAACTACTCTAAGACTTTGGGGACACTGTGTTTTAACTGGGTCACAATATCTCTTGTATTCACTGTTTCATTCTTGAATAGAATAGCTTTCCTGGAAACATCAGAATCTGTCTCATATCTCTCAAAGGGCCTTTAGCTCCTCTGTAAGCACCCAGGCTAACAAAGGCATTAAAAATAGAACAGGTTTATTTAAGAAGTAAGGAACAAAGAAATGACCATAGTCCTTAGTAAAGAAATTGAGGAGATCTCCCTCCTAGGGAGTTCTGTTTACCTCCCCAGAGGTTGAGCTCATAGTCTAAGAGAACTCAGTGCATGAATTAGTGAAATCCCTGCATAGTTAAATGGAATTGCAGGCCCATTGTACTACAGGTTCAGTGTTTTTCCTCAGCCTTTGGTAGGTCTGTTAGTCTCCAAATGACAGAAGCAGCCACTTTGGTCTGGTTCGTATCTTTGCACTAGCATCCAGACATATCTCTGTGCCTCCAACCTGCACAGGCTTTGTTCCGACACTCTCTGGAATAGCTTTGGCTGTAAGTGCTAGGCACCTGTCCTTTTCCATGTGGCCTCTCCACCTGAAAGCTCCAGCTTGATGTCTTCTCACTTGAACCATTATGTCTCCTACCCATGCTGTGCAGGTAATGGGCAAGAGGAGTTGGCTGGACTTTTATCAGTAGATAGGCAAATTATACTGCAGGAAGAACTAGCTCTAACATGTTAACTTTCATTTTCTCTATGAGAAAACCTAAATTTAGCCTTAAATGCAATGATACTTATATAATACATATAGTAAGTGTTATGTGTGGAGGATTATACTAGACAATATATATATAAATAAATATACATATAAATACATACTAAACATTTATTAGGCATCCATTGTATGCAGAGCATTTTGCTAGACAATAGTGCACACATATAAATACATAGTAAACATTTATTTGGCACCCACTGTGTACAGAACATTGTGTTAGACAATAATGCACACATATAAATATGTAGTAAACATTTATTAGGCACCCACTGTGTACCACATATTGTGCTAGGTACTGAGGGAGAAACAAAGTTTAAGTAATACATAGCCCTCAAAGATCTTAAAGCCCAGTAACAGATTCCTCCCCTGTTTTCATCCTTTATACTCACTTTCCATTTTAGGACACATATAATAAGAGCTCACATTTCTATAGTGCCTTAAAGTGTACAGAGCCCTGCCCTCACAATAATTCCATGAGATAGGAATGTGAGTTTTAAAATGTTCATGCTCATTTTACAAATTGATGAAGATGAAACTCACAGAGGTGGGGCAGTGACTTACCCTCAGTCAGAAAACCAGTGTCAGAGTCAAATTTGAACCCAGGCTCCTACCATGCTCAGTTTTCTTTCTTCTATTGTCTGTTTTTATTTCTGTCTAATGGGGATACTAAAACTTTTTCTCTACTCTTGAAGTGGGCAAAGTTTATTGAGGTGTTTTGTTTTTGTTTTTTTTTAAACACTTTTAGTATGAGTTACACTGAACTGTTGCATCCCTCCCTCTGACTAATTGCAAGTTTCATTGAAGTTGCCTAGTTATCTCAGGCCATCTCTGCTCTTGAATTTCCTGGTCTTGTTGTACCTGATAGTCTGCGATGAATAAGTCAATATAATTAAGTTCAACAAAAATTTATTAAGCTCCTTACCATGTGCAAGACGCTATACTAGTTGTTGGAGATACAAAGACAAAAAAAGGACTCATTTCTTGACCTCAAGGAGCATACTATATAATGGGGTGGGAGGAGAGGGGTCATGATAGATACAGAAAGAAGATTGGAGGTACAATGTGATAAAGGTAAAGGAGAGACTAGACCAAATGATGGAAGAAAATTTGAGGGGGGAGGTGTTACTTTCAGCTAGTATCAGGGAAGGCTTCACAAAGGTGGTGGCAACTGAGGCTAACCTTGAAGAGCATGGCAATAGACAGACATATGAAGGGAATGGGTTCCAGTTATATGGCATGTCTCTTTTCTACACAGACCAAAATACAGATAGTAACCCAGGCTGGCTGAAATGTAGGGCACATGAAAGGGAGGTAATGGGAAATAAGTCCAGGAAGATTAGTTGTAGACGGAATGTGGAGACCCTTAACTATTGACTAAGGTTATCCTGGAGGCAGTGGGGAGTCCCTGGAAGTTTTTGAGGAGGGGAGTTGCTTTGGAGTGTCAAGAGTCTGTTTTGTAGCAGTCCCTAGGCCTGTCTCTTCGACTGTAGTCTGCTTAATAGAAGAAAACATGGTGCTTCTCTTTTTGTGGATTTAAAAAAAAATGTTTTACATGGCTTGGTTCTGTTATTATTGAGTTATATGGGGAAGGGTTTATATTCCAGAGCTAGATGGTCATAAAAGTGAAATGTGGGTGACCCTGTATCCTTGACAGGTGCCAGGTCACATCCCCTAGGAGTACATCTCTCAGACTTGTAAAGTTCTTGTCCATGTGTGGCACCATGTCTGTGGGCAAAGGCAACATGTTCTTTCTACTCTTTTTTCTGGGGTGATATATGTAGTCCTTGCCACTCAGCCTTTGCTTTTCACTCTTATGCCTTTTGATTTATTGTGGCCTTGCTCATGAGATGGTCCCATAGCCCACAGAAGGCCTGGGTTTGAATCATAGGAGTATCTTGACATCAAGAACCACAACATGGTAGTAAAAATAACTTATTGAATGGGGATGAGTTCAAGTGTCCAGAAGTAGGGGAATGTTCCAATAGAGACCTTGCAAAAGGGAAACCTTTTGGCAGCACTGTTCAATAAAGAAGGAGAATTCAAAAGGGTAGTCCTTTTATTCATACCAACTCTTGGTATGCAACCAAGAAGGTTATGTAGGTCTCTAGACAACTACTTCAAAAAGGGAGTTCACCTGGCCAGATTCATGACATTTCCTGCTACCTTGAGTCAGACAGCAAGCACTGTTATAGCTTAATACTAGAGACACCCTTTCTTTCACCCCAGTCTTAAAATCTGCAAATTCCCAGTCTCCTAGAGTCATTTGATTTATAATCTAAGCCTGAATGTTTTTGGTAAAGATCTGTCTTATAAAGGATGGGTTTTTTCAGTAAGGTTGCCAAGCAAATGAAAACTTTGTAAAAGTATTTCATCTATATTTATTTCTTTTACTAGAGAGGAGGGAAAGGATGGGTGGGGTCTTCCGGATGTTTTGTTCTTTCCTTTGATAATTACATAAGACAAAGCAAAGATTTCTTAAATTGCAGAGTAGTCTTGAGTATTTGTAAACTATTTATAGGAATCCTAGAGAGGGTTTATTGAAAAGGGGTGCTCATCCAGAGTTATAGGTAAGCTATTCAGACTTTCTATTACTTGGGATCAATCTAACAGTCATTGTTTGGGTCTTAATCAATAAGAATTTATTACATATTTCCTATGTACCAGGCACTATGCTGAGTTAAAAATGAACTGAAGGTAAATTTCTGAAGGGATTTTATCTTTTTTGCTTTCCTGTCCTCAACTCACTACCTTTTACATAACAGATACTTAATACGTGTTTTGAAAATTGAATTGAATAAAAATTGAGTGATACACTATACAATTGTGAGAAAAGTACATTAATAGACAACAATGCCCTACATGAATGTGAGCTACTGATTTTGATTAGACTAAACATGGTACTTTAGAATAATTGGGTGAATCCATCCATCTTCATGGATGCCATCTCCACTGGATGGCAGCCATTTAAGATGTCAGTACTCATTAATGGAAGATAGCTGTAACCTGTCTCCTTCTACTTGTTCAATAGATGCCCACAGTAAAACCCTTGGGGCTTGTGGCTGGTTCCTGGTTTTCCTTTCTTTCCTGTTGATGGTCATCACCTTTCCTTTCTCCATATGGATGTGCCTAAAGGTAACAGCCTGGGGAAAAATAGAGATTACTCCTAAAAGCTGCTGAATGACAACATTAAGGCTAACCCCACTCTGCTATTCTCTTAGATTGTTAAGGAGTATGAACGGGCTGTTGTATTCCGGCTTGGAAGAATCCAAGCAAAAAAAGCAAAAGGACCAGGTAAGAAATAATGTTTTCCAGAATTAAGCTTTGTTGACAGTTTGGGCAATACCACAAAAAGGCAGGACTCCCTGGAGAATCAAAAACATTGAAATGGAAACATTGTGCCCATGAACTTATTTAGAATTTATTTCTAAGTGCGCTTCTGAGCTGCTGAGTGGTCTTGTTCAAGCCAAAGTGGGCTTTGGGCCCCTGTGTAAATCACATGGACTTAACCCATCTTTCTTGCCATTTCCTACTCCCCACATTACAGGGGTCTTTAGAAGATACACGAATGAATGGTGGGATAAACTGCTTTTCTTAAACTTTTGGATAACTAGGTTACAATTCAGAGCACTGATAAAGGTATGATCTGGGTCATACTGTTTGAACAGGGTGAATATTGATTTAAGAGGTGCCCTCCTCACAGGACAAATCAAATAATAAGTGTCAAAGAGGAAAGATGGCAAACTAAATATGAATTCATTTGAAGGTGTGTGTATATGTGTGTTGGGGTGATGAGATGAGAAAGAGGATAATCTGCTCTGGTGGTATGTAATTGTACCAAGGGAGGGGTTGGCCTAACTCCCAGGGGATCTATAACCATTTCTGGTGGCACATGTACAATAATTCAAACCCCATCCCTCAAACCCTGGGAAGAGGTGGAGGGAGGAAGTCAGTAGGTGAGAAGCGGGGAAGTAGGCAACCATCAGAAGATGGGCATGCCTTTAAGGGTGGTATTGCATAGTGTGGAGTTGATAGAAGATCATGAAGCTCAGGTTGCAGTGAAATATGGTCCCTGGGATGTTGGCCTTGGCTTTGTTACAGCACCATCAGAATATCATCTTAGGAAATTTTCCCAAGAGGCCAAGTATCTAGAAAAATAGTACTTAGGAGCCTAATGAAGAATTGTACCTAAAGATCTGTTTGGCAGCAAATGGAAGATCCTTTAAATGTGGGAATTTATTAAGAGGATGGCCATGTCAGGTTAACACTAGAATCATCAGAGGGAAGAGAGTTATAATTTTAGCACCCCCTCCCTCCTCTAAAAATGCACTGAAAAACCCGCAAGAGTACTAAACCTAAGGTTCATAAACTTGTTTTTATATTTAAGATTTATTTTTGATAACTGTTTTTCAATATATTTGGTTTCCTTTGTAATCCTATGTATTTTATTCATTTAAAATATTATTCTGAGAAGGGGTCCAGTGTCTTTACCAGATCAGCAAAGAATCTATCACATGAAAAAGGTTCAGAATCTCTGGACCAAAAGCTTAGGAAATGGGCTTCTGACCTTGAGAAAAGACAAGACATAGAACCATTACAACTAAAGTATATATAGTAGTTAACCACTCTGGAACAGGGCAATAGAATCATTCTAACTTGGACAGGGTAAGCCTGAAAAATAAAATAAAGCTTGATCTGGGGACTATAGAATAGTTCCAACACATAGTATGCTGGAGGGGAAAACCATCCTTTACAAATGAACCCATTTCCCAGGGGTTTTCACGTACTGAATGTCCCAGGTTAGCTACGCTCGTCATACATATCTCTAATGAGTTACCTCAGAATGCCATAAGGACCAGTGGGAAGTCATCCAAACTGTTAATGGAAAGACTCTGTACTTTTGCTAATTGAAGCTAAACATCACTTTGTATCCCACCTGTTACCTATCATCAACAGCAAAAGTCACCATAAAGCAGTCCTTCTCAAGACAAGTCACAACAGAGGCTGAAAGATCAGGATTTTGTGGAGGAAGAAAGCATCCCAGTAGTTTACTTTTTTCCCTTCTATGAGATTATTAGCCATTTGCCTGGTGTTCAGAATCAAACCCATCTTTTGCTTCTATAATGCCATATAATGAATGAGAATGGATTGGTGCATCCAAAGCACCAACACTAATTTTTTTATTCACTTATTCTCAAAATTCTCCCTCCAAATGAGTAAACAATTAATTGATGGCAGGGATACATTAAATCATCACTTTAGCAAGTCTGTGACATCCTTACAAATCCTAGGGGTAGGTAGCTGGTACAGTAAATCGAGTGTCAGACCTGAAGTCAGGAAGAAATTTTCTTCCTGAGTTCAAATCTGGCCTCAGACACTTATTAACTGTGTATATCCCTGGCAAAGTCACTTAACCTTGTTTGTCACAGTTTCTTCATCTATAAAAGGAGCTGGAGAAGGAAATGGCAAACCACTCTAGTATCTTTGGCCATCCTTCTTCCCCTACCTGACCTCAGCATCATGGTAGCAGCAACTGTGAGAGGCTTCCTCTCCTTTCACCAACTAAAAACCTCAGGTATCTAAAGTGTACATTTTTTCCTCCTAACAGGACATGTATTACAGGTACATGTTGCCATTGCTACTTGCTCCAGGTACAATAATTGCTAGTCATAGTTCTTACTAACTGTGCAATATTGGGCAAGTTGCTTCGATTCTCTAAGCTTTAATTAGCTGATACATAAAATGGAGAAAATATTTGCCAATATCCTCCAAGTTTAGCACCCCACCCACCAATCAAGCTCTTTTATCTAATGCCTTAGTAGCTATTTCAACACTTTTTGTGACTCAGACCCACAGCCACATGCAGCTAGCCAGCAAAAAGCCAGCAGAAATCTTCAGATCATATCTCTCCTTTTAACTCCTTTATTCTTATTTAAGAAGCTTCTCCCCCTTGAATGAAGCCTGTTATGTTGTAGAGAGAAAATTCCTTTCATTATCATTATACCCTTGGTTGCTTTCCAGGTTCAGGCAAAACATACCAGGAGATTCACTTGCCCAGCCTGGAGGGACAGAGTAGAGCTAGCAACATTTCACTTGCATTCCTGCCAGCAATTGTGCTCCATGTACCTTTCACTGATTTGTGAGGAAAGTGCTTTGTAAATCTTAAAATGCTATGTAAATATAAGCTACTATTATCCTAACATCTTATTTTGCTTCTTTTGACCAACATGTGTTAATGACAGAGAAGCTAGAGATATCATTTCCCCTCCAGTAGACTTGAACTAGAAGACAGCTGTGAAATAACCATCAATTCCACAATACATTGGGGATTTAGGGAATGGAGACTCTCAGGAAGATTCCCACAGTAATGTTGAGAAGGAGTTTCACATGGAAGCAGCATATGACATTCAAGGCCAGGTGATATGCCTTTCATATGGATTTATGATGGAATATTTCCTCAGATAACTCTCATTAAAATTATCCTGGATTTTTAGAGAGCAGAAACCCCCAAACCAGGAAGAAAATGTCAAAATAAATGTTAGAGATCTTTGGTATCCATAGTGAAGAAAACAATGGTTGATATAAAAAAGTCATAGGAGCTTTTGGAGCCCCAACTTAACCTCAAAGAATTTGTTGTTGTGGCTGTTTGTTTAAAAAAAATTATCTTTTGAGTACCCAGGATGTTTTTTTTTTTAAATATGCCTTCTTTTTGGTAGGTCTGATCCTTGTGCTACCATGTGTAGATGTTTTTGTCAAAGTTGATCTCCGAACTGTTACCTGCAACATCCCCCCACAAGAGGTACCAACCATTCATGATCAATTTCCTTTAGAAGCACAGAGCCAAACTCTTCTAGTATGCTGAAATCTCAAGTAGCCTTCTTTAACCTGATTAGGCGATTTTACTTAGATAAAATCCTGGATTATTGCATTGTCCTTTTAAGTTTGCTTGAGTATATACCAATCACAAGGTAATGCACGCATGCATCTTCTACCATCATTGCTTCCTTAGCATCTGACTTACACAGCTCTTGTGAATTTCAAAAGGCTCTTCCTGTCCTTTTGAATGAAAGAAAAAAACATTTATTAAGTGCTTGCTATGTGAAAAGTGCCGTGCTAAGAGCTGGGGATATAAATAAGACAGTCCTTGCTGTCAAGGAGCACACATTCTAGTGGGAGGAGACAATTCATATAGAAGGTTTTGGCTGCAAGTCAGATGGAAAAATCCAATTGTTCTCAGTGTAGGTGATAACATATCATCTTTAATATTATTTCCACTGATAAAATCATAGATTTCTGATTAACCATTGGATGGTCCTAGGATCTTTTATATAAATAAATATCCAACAAGATAAAGAGTAGGACAAAAGAATCAAATACATATAGGAATTCAAAGATGTTAGGACCCTAGAGAAAGACAGATCAGCAAGGAGAGAAAAAAATGGTTATCGGTCAGAATAGTTTCCTTTCTCACTTGTTAAACTAATATAGGAAACACTAGATTTCCACGGAAATTAAAATTGGGGGAATACAAAACAATTTACACAAATTAGGAGTCAATCCATAATTAGAACTTCTAAAATATGGGAAAAAATTAAAAACATCTCAAACAAATGATTTTTCATAGAATCATAGAATTTTAGAGCTGGAAGTAATTTGAGGGATCATCTAATCCAGTATTCTCATTTTATAAATGAGAAAACTAATGTCCAGGGAAATGAAGTGACTTGTTCAAAGTCACAGAATCAATTAAGGACACATCCAGGGCTGAAGCCCACATGTAGTCTGGTGCTTTTTACACTTCAGTGACAAATAGTCACTGCCTCTCTGAGCCTGTCTCCTCATCTGCCAAATGGAACTGATAACACTTGTGTATTTATGATTTACCTCACCTGGTTGTTGGGATGGAAGAACTGTGTGAACCTTAAGGTACCATGGAAATGTGAGTTCTTGTTGCCTGAGTGGAGTTTGCTTGCAACTCTACTCTGATGATTCCATGGAGGTGATTCTGGGGTCACAAAATCACAGAATTTGAGAGTTGAAAATGACCTCAGTAGTCATCTAGTCCTACCTATACATGAAAGGAACCCTCACCACAACATAGAATTATTGGATCACACTGCCCTATACCCAGAACAGACCTCAGAGGCATCCCTGACAAGTGGTCCTCTAGCCTTGGCTTTGAAACTCCCAGTGAGGGGGACCTACTCTTATTTGAGGTGATCCATTCCACTTGAATGACAGATTTTTTTTCCTGATGTCTAGCCTAAGCTGACTTTGACAACTTGTACCCACTGGTCTTTGTTCCTCCCTCTGGGGTAAAACAGAACAAGGCTAATCCCTTTCCCTCATGATAGCCCTTTAAACATTTGAAGTTATCTCTCAGCCCTCTCCACCCTCATCCCAAATCTTCTTTTCACCAAGCTAAACATGGCCAATTCCTTTATTTGATCCTGACATGGACTCAAAGCCCTTCACCATTCTGGTTTCCCTCCTTTAGACATTGTCCAGTTTATCAATATCCTTTTTTTCTTCTTTCTAATCAATATCCTTAAACCTTGTACCCAGACCTGAACTCAATGAGGGCAGAGTACAGTGGCATTATCAACTCCCAATTCCTGGAAGCTCTGACTCTTTCAATTTAATGGAGCGCATGATCACATTAGCTTAAATTCTCTAAGGCAGTGTCAAGGGAGGGCAAGTTTTGGGAGGTCCTACCCAGCTGGAAAGTCTTCAGAATAGGTGTATATGTGGTCCCAGGATCAGTCAGGCTAATTTTATTCTCATCACCTGGTTGGTTGCAGAATTTTTTTTTTTCATTTTAACCGCAGAAACCCATGAAAATCAGCAATAAATCACTGATAGGTAGCATTCTGTGTTAATAGAGGGTGTACCCACACCAACCAAATTACAGATGGTTTGAAGAACTCAAGTGTTAAAGAACAAAATTTAGGGGGATCCAAAATGCTAATATTCTGTTTGGTAAAGAGGAGACCCCCCCCACTAAAATTCAATTTCTGCCTTAAAATATACTTTGAGAGGAATTGGATAAAAATGCATAAGTTAAGTTGTCTCTGAAAGAAAACTTTAAAGATTTCCCCTAACCTTTACACAAGCAATAATAACAATAGCAGTCTGTTTTTCCCTTCAGGAAGTCTTCTGATTTTATGTATTACCCTTATGTTTTTTAAATGTAGAGAATGTCTGCTCTGAGCAGTAAACAAGTTTGAGAAGTTTCAGTAATTTCTTTCTTGCCTCCTAATTCAAGACATTTTGAATGAATTTAGCTTTCAGACTGATGATCTAGAAGCAAAACTGAGGTGTCCCAAACTCACCTGAATCCACATCAGAAAAGTCCATGTAGGTTCCTAGGGAAAAAAAAAAGACCTAGAAGGCTGCCCCAAGGCAACCTGGGGTGTTTGCTTTGCTATGTCTATTCTCCAAGTAGCAATGAGCTCCTTATTCCTTTAAAAAAAAATAAAAAAAAAAAAAGGACTGTGTACCAAAACTGGAATGTTTATCACCTCTTTTGGAAGTATCTCTACTTCTGTGAGATAACATTTTCAGTTTCTTCTGCAGTATTACACACTGGAAACCTTATCTATGAAATACCAAAACAAGGGGGGTCAGTTCAGTCCAAACCTATCTAGTATCAATCTGGGAGAGCCATAGCTAGTGTTTTAGCCAAAAATACAGCATGGTCTGTAGTGCCATCTAGTGGCCTTAATGAGCCACTTTAAATGCATCCACATTTGGAAGCTGCAAAATTGTTCCTTGAATCGACCAATCCAGTATTAAATGCTGGAATCAGGAAAACTCGTTTTCTACCTCTGAATGGAACCACAAAAGTTAAATAAGATTGTTGTAACTTTTTGATAGTGTTTTAAATTAGAATGTTTTGAATTAAAGTGCCATATTGTGGAAATAAAGACCCCTGGATGTGAAATTCAGCAATTCTAGACCACGTGGTGTGTTGGAATGAGCATCAGGCTATAGAAGCCCGGTTATCTGAATTTTAGCTAGTTGTGAGAACTTGGACACGAATCAATTAGTCTCTCTGCCCCTTAGTTTCTTCATTAGTTAAATGAGGTTAGAATGGACCTATGACCTCTCAAGTCCCTTCTAGTTCTAAAATCCTACAAAGACACACACACACACACACACACACACACATTTCAATTTTTCTTTTTCATGCTAAAATTGATGGTCAGGGTAGGGGATGGTAGGGGAGAAGAAAAAGGATAGAAGATTGTCAGGACATACAGAAACTTGAAATTCAGATTCTCTAACCCATAGAGCCAAGACAGCTTGAAATCTCTCTCTTCTTTTTCTACAGATCCTCACCAGAGATTCTGTAACTACCCAAGTAGATGGAGTGGTCTACTACCGAATCCACAGCGCTGTTTCTGCTGTGGCTAATGTCACCGACGTTCACCAAGCCACGTTCCTACTGGCCCAGACCACTTTGAGGAATGTCTTAGGGACACAAACTTTGTCCCAAATCTTAGCTGGCAGAGAAGTTATTGCCCATAGCATCCAGGTACATACACCCAGCATCTACAATCTACATTTCATGCTTGGAGTAATCTTTTATCTATCTATCTATCTATCTATCTATCTATCTATCTATCTATCTAT